CACTCTTTCATCATTCGTTTCATCCAATAATTATGTTTGGATACCACTATTTTTCACACCTCAACTGACCCTCCTTTTATGAAGGCAGACGACTTAGTCCAAATTCTCAATAGCACCTTTACTTAGACAACCAAGAGCCAGTGGGTTAAAAAGCAGTCTAGCTCAATCGTCACAAACTTACACGATTAATTTATGATTCATTCACTTTCACATATATTTTGAAGCGTGGAAAATCATATCATTAAAATATATATAAAGAGCTGTTAAATCCAAAATAATAAAGGTGCGTACTTAAATGTCTGTACAATCTCCAAAACTAAAATGCAAAAGCTGTACAATCTCACACCTGGATACCCCGACTACTACTCATCACCTCTTCCTAAAAGTTAACAATATATGAGTGAGCTACAATAGGTTCGACAAAATAATCAAGTCTAAAATAAGATTTTATAGATGAAAAAGAAGCAACGTGCATGATCATAGGTAGCTCATATGCAGGTAATAAAACATATCACAATATGCTTTAATCATGTAAAATATCTAAATGAAGACATGAAATGCAATAAATTATGACATTTGTATAAACACGTTTCATTCATTTATGTGCAATCATAGGAATATCCATAAGAATTTCAAAATCAATCATTGTAATTATGGGAATGTCATTCGTAATTGTATAAGATATGACTATTTTCATATCATTTCACATCATTGGGTCGTCACCGAACCCGGATGCTAACTAATTATTGATGAAAGTTGAGCCCTTCCCAACATAACAATTATCAATAGTCCTCTTTTGATTCCAAAAGTTCTCTACTTTCCATCGCCGTCTGATACAAATATTTCTCAAATTTATGTCTCAATGTGACTACTAGAAGTTGAGAATTTTTCCCTATCATATGTAATTATTAACATTCATGTACTAGCAACCTAGCACAACATTGACGACATTCTTAAAATCATAATTCCTATTTAAAGCATGCATTATAGATAAATCATAAATCATATGCATAAATCACATGTAACAAATTCTTACAAGCAAATATATTTCATGAACATGCTTAACATGTTAATAAAAAAATCATAATTATTGTCAGCATCAATTCAAAATGACATTCATGCACATTTTACATATATTCAACAATATGACGAAATTCTAAATGCATTTATACTTCACAATAAATCATATTGAAATTTTATAGAAAGATATTATTCTTAATTATCGTTAGCATTAATTCAATCGTGATCGTATTATAATGATGTAATTTTTTTTGAACTATCTGGACATGGAGCTTTTACCATAAATTTTGTTTTTTTTCTTACTATTTTGCAGCAAAATCATGTAAATACAGGACATCGGCCAATTCCCTTTTTGCATGAACCTTTTGAAAGTGATTATAGGAGAACACTTAATATGATATTTATTCTTTATGAGTTTAGATTAATCTTACATTTGTTACTCTTGATGGGTAGATGGTTCGTTTTATTTGATAGAATTTCACTTAAATATTCTTAAATTTATATGATTTTTTGAAAGGTTTATACTTAAATTTTAGAGTTTTTAAAAATAGATATTCTTTCTGTTGAGATTTTTTGCAATGCAACCATCATCAAGATAAATACATTATGTACATCTACAATTTGATTGAAGTTTATTACTTGAATATTTTCAAAGTATCTGTCATATTAACTCTTTTTTTATAAAGAGAAATGCCATAATGGGCAAGTAGGCCTTATGGTTTTGTCTTATAGACAAGATGATTTTCTTAAGAACATGTCTAACTTGCCGAATTTGAATTTGGTTTTTGAAAAATGAGAGTTATATTTTCGAAGTAATTATAATTCTTTCAAAAGATTTACTCACTTCTCAAAATAGAAGTAATTTGAGTTCAAATTTATCTTTTGGCCATGTAGTATTCTTAGACTGCATGTTTGGGCATTCAACGTGTTGATCAGGGAACATAAAAACATACTTGAACTCAAAAACCTTCAGTATAGTTTAGAAAGTTTGCTTATGTTTTTCAAGACAACTTGCATGTTTTTTGAGATAATGCACTTCAATTAAAGCATGCCTTAGAACACATACACAAGACTTTAAGTTATTTATATTTTATTATTTGTGTTAACATCCTAATGCATGCAAAGCCTTATTTTAGATTGTTGATAAAAATGGATTATATTCTCATGTTTGTATATGTTGTAGATGTAGTCACATATGAGGCATTTTAGAATCTTGTTATTTGCTTTAAACATTATATTTTACTTGCATTTGGCATTTATTTGAGCGTTAAAGTTGAACCCTATAGTGACATTCCTTCTCCATTGGACAGATGTTCTATTTAATCGTCTTTAGGTGTAATTTTAAATCATACTTCTTATCATTCTTAAATCTCGTGAGAGACTTTTTCATGCTCATTAGCGGGCTTGTAAGTCTTGCTCAACTTTTTTCTATCATATTTATTTTTGTTCATATATGGCAACCAAATTCTGAAAGTTCAATGATTGTTGCATTTTTGTTTTTGTTTTTTTTATTTGTTCAATATAAGAATGGTCAAATGTTCGTTTTTGTTCATGCTCGTCGTCGAGTAGTTAATCCACTGTAGGTCCTTGTAAGTGTTCCATTTCTATTCAATGCTTCTTACATGATATTTTTAAATCTTCATTTTTTATTTTATTTTACATTTTGTTCCATCATTTAGTCGAAGTCATGTTCAGTAGGTTAATTTGAAGATGTTTTATGCAAGTTATTTCACTAGAAAATTTGGTAGCATTTGACGTCACTCCCATTTTGAGGGCATTATCAGGAGTGCTATGCTTTCTCTCAAAATTGTGTGATGTCGTTTGCTGCCATCGTCATGATTTATTGAATCAATCCAGGGGCCCTCCCTTGATGATTTTAATGCCTGTACGCATTAGTGGAGTTTAATTTTTGAATATATGTAATTTAAGCAATTTCGATGATGATTAGGGTTATTTAGGTTGGACTCATACAATGTTGGGTTTGTAGACTATCATTTTCGTCATAATTTATTGAATTAATTACAGAAGGTCTCCTTCAGGAGATTTTGATACTTCAGACATAATGCTGAAGTCTATTTTGAGAATGGGCATTGTTTGGGCATATTTGACTGCAACCTATGAAGTACAAACACGACACGACACGACAAGACACAATATGACATAATATGATGACATGAAATAATTGCAAAAGGTAGGATACGAAATGATATGAACATATTTTCTTATATTTAAGGAATTATTAATATAAATATATATTTTTAATATTTTTCACTTAAAGATATTACAAAAAAATATATACAATCATTAAGAAAACAGTTCGATTCAGCCAAAATATCATTATCTGTGTGATTGGACCAAATATAACGCTAACCCTTTAATATGAAGGTCAATAAGATCTAAAAGTTTAATAAATTCATTAAAAAGATCATAAGGAGATTTCAAAGTACTCAAAATCTTAGCTGAGAGTATACTCAATCATGAAGAATAAAAAAAATTCAATTAGTAAAGAAATTAGCTAAAACAAATTATATAAAAAAACAAACCTTCAGCTCTTGAGAGTTATTTATTTTTTATAAGGGCTTGAGTCATCACTTGGTTGGACGATCGAAGAGGTGGGAAAGAACCTCTGGACTGCGTCAATGACGTAATTGCTTTGCTCGGGCCGCTTGACAACGGACTCGCTTCGATCAATGTCGCTTGACAACGGACTCACTTTGATTAGGGCCGCTCATAGTGGAAGTGGCTTGCAACTTTTTTGCTTTGATGTAGGGCTTCGATGATGAGGACTGCTCAAGAATACTGATGAGATACTGAGGATTGTTCAAGAACGTTGCAGCTTTTATTTTGAGTTGCCACTTGACCTTCTACTTCTACCAAGAGCTAAGATGAGCACATGTTTTTGCTCCCGTGTCCCGCTCCTGCTTGATGCTGTGTTGAGCAGTATCAAGCAATGCCGAACTCAAGGTAAGGGTTCAACACATTTTGAATTCTGTCAGATACGTATCGGCCCGTGTTAGAGCAATGCCCGTGTTCAAAATGTGCTCTGCAAGTTTATGGCACCTGTTTTGGGGTGCCAGTGCTTCACATACTGCAATCGAGAGATTTTGACTCTAATTTGCTTAATTTCCCATCCATAATTCATTGTCCATCTTTGACACCGTGTTAGATCGTGTCGCATTGCAGTAAATACATGAAGGTCAACAACTGAGATACATAGGCGAGCTGTGATCATGCTGTAGCAAACACCTTCCAAGTGCGACCTTTACGTCACTTGATGTGGTGGGAGGGTAGGCACATGCAAGTGACCTACAATGAAGAATTTTAGTTTTTATTCTGTTTTTTTTTTTCAACGTTTGGACCCTATTGCAATCGACTTTGTAGTTGAAAATTCCTTTCATCTTTTAGCTCTGCTAGACCAATGAAAGCAGTCTTAGGCACTTTATCCGTGCACTTATGTAAAATTTTGTCTTTTTATTATTACATTTGGCTATGTAGTTGTAAACTAGGAACTTTTCTCTATGGTACAATCCATTTTATTACATATATAATTTGATGTGAATTGCAGGGTTCTTATGTTTATGACATTGATGGGAAAAAATATCTTGATGCTCTTGCTGGATTATGGTGCACTGCATTAGGTATTAAAAATATGTATATATTTATCTTTATTAAGATTATGAGCTACTTTTCATTTCCTTCGTCATTGTTATTATGAATCAACAATAACATCATTGAGTCTTCACAATTTTCTAGTTATTACTTTTTGATGAGCTTGAAAGATTTTCTACTGCAAAAATAATTTGCTAATTTACAGCGTTTCTTTCTTGAAATTTCTTCTATGTAGCTTTGTTGTTTTCTATATTCGTCTATAAAACAAATAGTTCCCAATGATTGATTTATATGCTGTTTTTGTTCATACGTGAGGTGCAAGAAACAAGGCTGGTATGAAGAGGCTTCATCTCAAGAAGGCAAAACCTGGAACGTATGTCAGTTAGTGAAGTAATGCAAGGCCATAGTGGAAACGAATTTTTGTGCTTAGAATTATATTTATTTTGTGCGGCTCTACTGTTCTGAAACCTTTATTTGCTAATTGTTGTATAAATTTGTGGAGTTGTATTCTTTGGCTTCCTAAATTAAGTTTTGCCCATCATAGTCTCTCTCTCTCTCTCTCTCTTGGATTCTACAATTGTGCAGTGGTGGAGGTGGATGGAGCCGCATTCTCAGCCTCTCTTTGTAGGAGATGGTTAGCGGGGCCACAATAAAAGCATTTGAGCTGCATGATTGGTAGAGTTATAGCTTCAGCTATTGCAGCAAGGGAACCATCTATTTCAAAGTAAAGTCATGCATGCACGGATCTCAAGTATCCATGCCATCAATACCTCCACGTCCTATTGCCACCTGACTTTTGGCATAGTTCCCAGTATTGGGATTCTTTCCTACCCTAAATCCCTGTATCAATAAACAAAATTCTTGATGTAGCAAGTGCGAATCCTTGAGCAAGTAGATCAAAGAAATATCCTTATTTGTAAATCTCAAAGCTTTTAGCGTTGATGTTCATTGCGATCTAATCTTGGAAGGGAATAATCTTAGAATCATCAATCAAATAAGCCGAGCTCAACATATTTTCTTATGTAGTCAATATTATGGCAAAATCAGATCTTGGTCTTCTTTCTTAAAATTGAGCACTCTAAGCTCTCAAAGCCCTAAGAGTTCAACATTATTCTCATCAAATCAAAATGTTGCCTGAATCAAACATTTGCAAGGGCATTGTAGCATGCATATTTCACACTAAAATGTTATCACTGAACTTAAACGAACATTCACATTAAAATTTTGCACCGTTGATGTGCATTTCTCACTTTGAATGTATTAATGGTACTACCTGACATTAGAAGATATTGTGCAATGCAATGTTGATTCAGTTAATCAGCCCATTGTCACATATTTGAACTTGTTTTGTAACTTTTTTGACAATCAAGAAGCTAATTCTTCTTTGCTTCCCTAAAAATGTGATGTTCAAACTCCGGTAAGAAACATCCGAGGCAACTTTTAAAGTTGTGCCTCCCAACAAAAATGTAAATTTTTTTTTTGATTCTAATGATAACAATATAACACACGCAAATGTTGAATATTTAATCAACCACTAGAAAAATATATACCTTTCATTATATAGTGCATATAAGGACAAGAATTATTCTTAGATCGGTATTCCTCCTCAATCAATCCTGTCACACCATCTTCTATTCTAAAACAAAAATTGTCAATTTCTACAATTGAACACACACCAACATTTCTCATATAAAAACTCTTATTTATCATCAGACACAAATTTCGATACTTTTTGAGTAAGAAATATTCTAAATTCAAATTCATGACCATCCCCCGATTTTAATAAGTTTATAGTCAAATTGACTGTCTCGTTAAAACAAGTCCATTGATACCAAAAGTGATTCAATTCGAGTCCAAATAAGCCCGATCAAATACTTAAAGTATAGTTAATTGTTTTGATGCATCAATTGGAAGGTCAAATGATTTTAAAATTTGATATGTTTATAGTCAAATTGAGCGGCTCAATGAAAGGAATCCAACAAGTCTAAGATCATTTGATTTTGATCTTGTTAAGCTATTTAATCGTTGAAATAATTATATTTGATCAAGGGGATTAATGTGGATCGTCCAATGGAATTTTTTGGGAGATTGACCACCAATTTTACCAAAATGTATCTCTCAATAACTATAAATAAAATTTTATTCTTTACTTGAAGTGGGGAGGAAGAGAAGAGAGTGATCTTACTACTAAAACTTAATGCTTGAAGTCTCGAAAGTTCGTCGCCGACCATCAATATTTACTGCCAGTCTCCAAAGGCCACCATGGATCGCCATCCGTAATTTATTATAACCAACTACGACCATCATAACAACTAACTATAACTTTTGTAGCCAATTATTGTTATTGTAGTCACCAACATCATCTTATAATATCATCTTTTCAAATACAAGAGAATTGTGAACCTCTTTATTTTGAATTTTCTAGTAAATTAATTTGAATTGGCCAGACTCCATGATTTTTTTTCACGTAAAAAAACTAGTTTTCTTATATCTTTATCTGTGTATGTGCTGGATAACTATACTGAGTTCAGACATAAAATTTCTCTGCCATTGAGAATTTTCTAGCATGCAATAGTTTGGCATCATTTATGTGAAATTGTTCGGTGCGGGGAATGGTTTTCAAAGCCTTTTGCCTGCGTGCGAGTGCACATTGGACCCTTGTGTGCTTCTACGTACACCGCTACATTGTGCTCGTACTTGTCTGCAGACCCCGTTATTTTCTGAGGCACACTATTGTGCTCATTTGCTCGCACACATGTAAATATGCACTGTGCATGCATATACTTGCGCCCAAATGACTACACCTTCAGTAGTAGTGATAAAAACAACACGATCAAGTCATTTTTTCCAGAAAGTATCTATTTCATTATTTTTTATATTTTGGACTCGATTTTTACATTTTCAAAACTTCATAAAACATCTATGAGTAAATTTGAATAATTTAAAATGTTAAAGATTCTCATTCCGATCAGCATTCAAATTTCAAGAATATATAAAATTATGATGGAAAATTTTTCAATGACTTATTTTTTTGAATGACACAAACATCAACATCCGAAAATAAGGAGATAATTGATGTGTTATCAATAAATTTTTATCATTAGAAACGAATCTCGATGCGTTTTGAGCTAGAAGTATTCTAAATTAAATTAATGATCATTCATTCCCCAATTTTGAAAGTTTATAGTCAAAATGATCATTTCGATAAGACAAACCCATTGATCCAAAAAGTTTTCCAATCCAAATCCAAATAAGCCCAGATCAAACATTTAAAATATAGTAATAAACTTTGATGTTTCAATTGGAAGGACAAACGATTTCAAAATTTGGTATGCTTGTAGTTAAATTAAGTGGCTCGACTAAAGTAATCTAATGAAAGTAAAATCATTCAATTTTGATGTTGTTAAGGCATTAAAATGTTGAAAGAACTACATCAGATCAAGGGAACTAATATAGACCGTCCGATAAAGTGTTTTGAGAGTTTGACTAATTTTACCAAAAGCCCCTCTCAATAACTATAAATGAACTCCCATTCTTCACTTGAAGGGGGGAGGAAGATTTGAAATCTTGGCTGTTGTTGCTGATCACCAAAGTTCAACACCAACCATAGAAGTTCACCACCGGTCATCAAAGATCGCCGCCGACCACCACTAATAATTTGTTAAGGTTAACTATGACCATTATATCAACCAACTACAGCTTTTATAGCTAACTATTGCTATTGTTGGCACCAACATCATCTTATAATCCCATATTTGTAATACAAGAGAAAAGTGAATCTCTGTACTTCCAATTTCTTAGTGGACTACTTTAAGTGGGCTAGACCCTATGATTTTTTTCCCTTTCCAGGGTTTTTTCTATTAGAAAAATATGTTTGTCTTTTAAACCTCTATCTGTATATGTTGAAAAATTATATTGAGTTAAAACATAAGATTTTTTTGTCATTGAGAATTTTTTAACACAAAAAAAAAAAAATAATAAATATATATATACACATATATATATATATATATATATATATATATATATATATATATA